ACTGGGTACAGAACCTGAGGGGGGTTGTCGTTCTGGTCCTGGATCATTATTTTCACAGTCACGTTGCTGCTGAGTGGAGGAGAGCCTCCATCCTGCGCTTTTACGCGAATATGGAACTCTTTTGTTTGCTCATAGTCGAAGGAGCGCACAGCAACTATCTCCCCCCGCTCTACATTCACTGAAAAATAAGCAGAAGCTGACATCCCATTCAGCTGACTATCCTCAAGAAAATACGAAATGCGCGCATTGCTTCCATAGTCCATGTCGCTGGCTTTGACGGTGAGGAGTGACATACCAGGTGAATTATTTTCATTGACGAAAGCGGTCAAAAACTGTTGCGGGAACGTTGGTGCGTGGTCATTTACGTCCGATATTCTTAAATTAATACTCTTGTTTGTGGAAAAAGGCGGGGAACCCTCATCTACTGCTGTAATAGTTATATTATATTCTAGTACTGTTTCACGATCCAAAATATCGTCAGATATCAGACTATAGAAATTAGGTGCGGAGGACTTGATTTTGAAAGGCAAATCTTGGCTAATATAACACCTAACATGACTATTTTTACCCGAGTCCAAATCTTTAATATTGATCATTGCTATGACGGTATTTAGAGGGGAATCTTCTGGTATTGCATTGGAGAGGGAAATGATGCTAATTATAGGGGCATTATCATTTAGGTCGGTCACTTCAATTAGCACCTTGCTTGTGTCTGTAAGCCCCCCTTTGTCCGTGGCTTCAATGTTTATTTCATAATGTTTAGCTTTTTCATAATCTAAAACACCAGTTACACTTATTTCTCCGCTGTGGGGGTCTATAATAAACAGGGAAGATGCACTGCTGGTATGCTGTGAGAACGAAAATGTTATCTCTTCATTTGTTCCCTTATCATTATCAGAGGCACTGACTCTTAAAATAACGGCGCCCTTCGGTGCGTTTTCAGGAACGGTAACCCTGTAAACGGACTGGCTGAATACTGGCGCATTGTCGTTAGCATCTAGAACAATGACGTTTATTTTGACTGAACCCGATTTCTGAGGATTACCTCCATCAAATGCTGTCAGAGTTAATTTATACTCTTCTTGTTTTTCTCTATCAAGCGATGTGTGAAGAACCATTTCAATATATTTTGTACCATCGGGAAGAGATACAACGTTCAGTTTGAAATTATCTGAAGGGTTGAGTTTGTACGTTTGAATGGTGTTCATTGCTACATCGGGGTCACTGGCACTCTCTAAGGAATAACGAGCCCCCGGTGAGGCAGATTCAATAACCTGGAAATTGTATTCCTTCTTGGAAAAATACGGAGCGTTGTCATTGATATCTAAAATCTCTACATCGATTCTGTGTAGCTCCATTGGATTTTCAAGGATTATTTGGAAATGAAGAGAGCACGGAGACACTTGCTTGCATAATTCTTCCCTGTCTATCCTTTTAGCCACTACTAAAGTCCCTTTTTCTGAATTCAGACCAATGTACTCACTGTCGTCCTCGGTAAATATCCTAGCACGCCCAGGGGAGAGTCAGAGGCTCTCTCTCTGTCTAAATCACTGTCTGTCATCAAACTGTAGAAATCACTGGTTGTAGACTTCATCACAAAAGGAATATTTTCATTCATTGTGCACTGGACCTTTCCATTTTCACCTGAATCTGCATCCTTAGCATGAATCATTGTGACCGTAGTACCGGGCTTTGCGTCTTCTGTTATTACATTCGATTTAGACATGATATGAATATCAGGTTTATTGTCATTCATATCAATCACGTCAATCTTCACTTTACACGAGTCAACTAGTCCTCCGTCATCACTTGCACGAATGTTTATCTGAAATGTTCGAGCTTTTTCATAGTCAACATTTCCTATAAGC